AGCAGGAAGGAGAGGGACCTTATTACCACCAAGATGCTCCTAGACCAGGGGAAGACTGATGACAAGGACCTTCCCCCAGAGCCAACAGAGAGAAAGTCTTTCCCTGGAGCTGGCACCCTGAATTGGGACTTGTAGCCTCCTAAACTTGAGAGAATAAATTTCTGTTTGTTAAAGCAATCCACTTGTGGTACTTCTGTTATAGCAGTACTAGATAACTAAGAGAATATACAAGCATGCATATTTAATAAACTTTGAAGTTCTTAAAATCTCTGCTTCTACAGAAAGATAGTTTTCTCACATGAAAGCTGATAATCACCTAATTCCAGTGATTTCAGAGCTGTAATTGTAGAACAGTATATGAGAGATTCCTTTTTACATTAATTAGTATTTAACAATGCTTATTAAAGTGTCACATCACTTAGTGAATATGGTCTACTGAGCTCTCAACAAATATCTGTTAATTATCATAATTATAATGTCCACAAAAGAAGTAAACATCATAGGCTGTAGTAACATGTAAGCAAACTCCTTCTTGAAACTGGAGAAAAGTTGGTTTAATATACAATAAAGAGAGGATGAGGAGGAGAGAAGAGAGAGGGAAAAGACAAAGTAGTAGAAACTGAAGTAGTGTGATTAAATTTATCAGTATTAAGAGATGCAGAAAATTTGGAGACAGCTTAAGTTTAAAGCTACTATCATGGTTGAGCTACCTCAAAAAAATAGAGTGGGATATTAATATTTTACTTTTTAAAAAGAACGATGGGGACTTCTGGTGCTGGCCAAATTGGAGTAAGCCCTCTACAGCCTCACTCATTCACTGATTACAACTAAAAACTCCGGACAAAACACGCAAAAAATCAACTACCTGAGGACTGTGAAAACTAAACAATAGCACAAGGAGTGAGGACAGCAAAAACTTTAAGAGAAACCTTGTCCTTCGGGCCAGAGGACCAGGAAAAGAGGCTGCTGAGAGGTGTGAGTCTAAAGGGAAGCCCTCTTTTTTTCTTCCTCTTTTCCCCCTTTCTTCTTTCCCAGTCCTGCCTTAAAAGCAGCCCTAGTTGCAGAACTGCATGGCAGCAACACAGGCAGCTAAAACCCCAAGAAAAAACCCATCTCTCTGGAAAAAGGGACACTGGTGGTCTGAAGATGATGAGGGAAGGGGGTTATTCTGTCCTCTGTCTTTTTTCCTGCCACTTTGCCCCCAGGACAACCCAAGCCATATGGAACTGTGCAACATCAGCACTGGTAGCTAAAACTCCATCTTTCTGGCCAGAAGACCAGGAAAAGGGACCCCTGGGAGCCAGAGAATGTGAGAGGAATACTGGAAAGAGCTGGGGAAGGGGCTTCTTTAATTTTGTGTATAAGTTGACAAGTTCCAGGCTCACTGCTGAACACTGAATGCACAAGAGATGCCCAAAGCAGCATTACAAAGGCTTTGAAAATTTAACTAAAATTGGAATCATCATCACTCAAAAAAGCTGAAGCAAAACCTGCACTCTGCTCTGTTGGTCCAGGTGACTAGAGATCAATCGTTGAGCCTTGGATGGTTGCTTGCAAGCTTTTAAGATCCCAGGCACTACACAACGAATTAGGAGGCAATTAAGAGTTAGAAAAGAAGCGCTAAACAAATTATTAGGCCAATTAACTGGGATGTTCCATAAAACGATGACCCTAAACCTCTAAACCAAGGAACCAAATCCCATGAGGTGATTGGTTGTATATAAGAAGGCGTGGCTGCTTTTCTTTTTTTTTTTTTTTGGTCATTGTTGTAAATACATCTATCACACTTTTGCCAATTCAACTTTTTACAGGTGTACAACTTATTGACAGCAATTACAATAATGGACTATGCAACTCTACCCTTAATCCATGTGATCTTTCCATCACCATTAACTCCCCTTTTCCCCCCCGCCCCCGTAATACCACTAATAAACTTTGGTCTCTATTTTTAAAAAAAGGGGGAAAAAAAAACTTGCAGTCTGAACCTAACCAGGTTAACTGTCTGCTAAAACAAAAGAAATATTCTCCAGATGATTTTAACAGGACCCATAGTCTCTCAGATTATAATCCTTATAATGTCCAGAATACAATCCGAAATTACTTGACATACAAAAAAACAGAAAAATCTGACCAATTACCAAGGGAAAAGATAATCAACCCAATCCCAAGAAAACTCAGATACTGGGATACTCAAAGACTTTAAAGCAGGTAAGGATAAGCATACTTAATGAATGGAAAGACAGACACCTTCAACAGAGAAACATAATACGATTTTTTATGCAGGAATCTACAAAAAAGCTCCGAGAATTAGTAAGTGAGTTTAGTCAAGTTGCAGAATACAAAGGCCAGCGTAAAACATCAATTATATTTCTATATACTAGCAAGAAACAATTGGCAATTCAAACTTTTTTTAAAGTACCATTTAAATTGCACCAAAAACAGGAAATATTTAGGTATAAATCTAACAAAATATCTTCAGGAAAACTAAAAAACACTGATGAAAGAAACAGAAAAAAACCTAAAAAAATGGAGAGATATATCATGTTCATGGATTAGAAAACCCAGTATTCTTAAAATGTCAATTCTTCCAAAATATCTATAGATTCAATTTAATCTAAATCAAAATCTTAGCATGATATTTTGGAGATAATGACAAGCAAATTCCATAATTTTTATGGAAAATCCAAGGACCTAGTTTAGTCAAAACAATTTTGAAAAATCAGAATAAAGTTATAGGACCCATACTACGTGAGTTCAAAACTGATTATAAAGCTACAGTCATCAGGACAATGGCAAAGGATAGACACACAGATCAATGGAGTCACACAGATCCAGAAACAAACAACACAAATATTGTTAATTTTTGACAAAGATGCAAAGGCAATTCGATAGAAAAAGGACAGTCTTTTCAACAAATGGTGCTGGAACAAATGGGCATCCAACCACTTGCAATAAATAAATTTTTACACCATATTAAAAAATAACTCAAAATGGATCACAGACCTAAAACTTTAACACTTCTAGAAGAAAATGTAACAGTCTTTGTGAACTTAGGTTCAGCAAAGGATTTTTAGATCTGACACCAAAAACATGATCCATGAAGAAAAAAACTGAAAATTGGACTACAGCAAAATTAAAAACTGTTCTGCAAAAGACAGGATAAGCCACAGATTAGGAGAAAATATTTGCAGATCACCTATCTAATAAAAGACTTGTACCTAGAATACATAAAGAGCTCTGAAAACTTAATAATAACCCAATTTAAAAAATGGGCAAAAGATCTGAACGGATGCTTCACCAAAAACTAAACTTAACTCATAGCTGTTGAGCTGATTCCAACTCATCGTGACCCTACAGGACAGAGTAGAACTGCCCCATAGCATTTCCGAGGCTGTAAATCTTTACAGAAGCAAACTGCCGCAACTTTCTCCCTCAGAGTGGCTGGTGGGTTAGAAAGATGCTTCACCAAAGAAGCTAAATTGATGGCAATTAAGCACATAAAGAGATATTCAAAATCTTCCATAATCAGTACATTAGGGAAATGCAAACAAAAGTCACATTGAAACACCACTACCCACCTACTGCTGCTGTTGTTAGTTGCTGTCAAGTCGATGCTGACTCATGGCGACCCCATGTGCATAGAGTAGAACTGTTGCATAAGGTTTTCAAGGCTGTGAACTTTTGGAAGCAGATCGCCAAGCCTTACTTCCAAGGCACCTCTGAGGTTTGAACTACCAACCTTTTGGTTAGTAGTCCAGCACTTAACCATTGTGCTACCCAGAGACTCTACCCACCTATGAGAATAGCGAAAATAAAACAATAAAACAAAATAGACAACTCCAAGTACTGGCAAGGAAGAGAAGCAACTGGAACTCTCATACATTACGTGGGAATGTGAAACGGTACAGCACCTCTGGAAAACAGATTGGCAATTTGTTAGAAAGTTAAACATACACTTACCTTATGACCCACCAATCCCACTTGTAGGTATTTACGCAAGAGAAATAAAACCTCATGTTTATACCAAAACCTGTTAAAGAGGTTAAAGAGAATGGAATCCTTATTTTAGAGAGAGAGCAGGTTTATGAAGCACATTATAATCTGATTTTCAAATGCAATTTTCAAAAGAATGCACAGAATTATTTTAGGTACAAAATCAGGAAGACTGAAAATAAAGGAACATCTAACACTATGTGAAATACAGCATGTGAGTTATATCTCAATGAAACTATCATTAAGAAAACAATTGTATCTGAATAACTTCTTTTCTCTGCCCGAATGTTTCCCTAACTTGTCTAATAAGAATCATTTAGCAACTGGTTAAAAACACAGATTCTCAGGCCACTTGCCCAGATATTGTGATTCAGTAGAGTAGGCTGGGGACCAGGAAACTATACTTTTAAAATGCATTCCTCAAGGGATTTCTAATATCAGACAAGTTTAGAGGGAAAAAAAAAAAAACTGCCACCCATAATTCTTTCTTAGCTACAAAGCCAAACAAAAGAAATTTTAATTGTCTATTTAGTCATGTTCTGAATGCTTTCTAACACACCAAGAGAGTCATATATAGTGTTAATAGTCACACTCTAGAAAAATACAAGATGATCTACTGGGATATGAAAGAAAATACTGATCTTCTGTATACATTTACTTTTATCTCATACTTCAAAAATTCCTATTTTTGTTGTGTGTTTTATAAAGTACACAGTGTATCAATGCAATAGTGTATGCATATCTTTTTTTTTCCTGATGGGATGTGTGCTCAAAAAAGATTTATTGTTTTTCGCCTCAGCCCTTATCCTGTTTTGCAATAAGACCCTCGCAATCCTTAAATATAACGTCTGCCAACATTCTTTGCCCACCAAAACACCATTATGTCCATATATCCATACCCAAGCATAAAAGCATCATCATTCTGTATAAAGGACACAGTTCTTTTCCCATGTCAAGATCTGAAAAAGTATTTATTGCATCTAGTAAGAAATTTAGAAGGTGCTTACCTTTTCATACTATTCTTGAAGTCCAGTAGACTCTTGGCATTTGAGGATTCAACTCACCAATTTAACAGTTGTGGTTTCAAGCCTTCACAGGTAACTGTGAAGTTCCATATGTGTAGTAATGTGATTTTGCTGAGTCACAAACTTGAATCAAGTATGCTTTCAAGCTGGTGTGAAGGTCCACACCATGAAAGACTATAATTAAGCTTACCACCCAGCATTTCCTTTCATTAAGCTATGCTGTTCTCTGTTATTAGGGTCAGGAAAGACCTCTTTTTTAGTTAGCCTTTACCTCAGCAGTCCCCACCATTTATCTATAAAGTTTATCATACAAAGTCCTTGACTCCAAATGTGTGTATCAATCTATTTTTTCAGTTACACTAAAAACACATGACACAGTGGCTGCAACAATTGGCTCAAGCAAACAACTGTGAGGATGGCACAGGACTGGGCAATATTTCGTTCTGTTGAACACAGGGTCGCTATGAGTCAGAACCGACTCGACAGCACCTAACAACACCTAACAACAACAACAATACATGTGGGAGGTTTTGTGAGTGGGCATTTAAAAAGGACTGTCAAGGAGTCTCTGGGTGATGCAAACAGTTAAGTACTCGGCTACTGACAGAAAGGTTGGCAGTTTGAATGTACCCAGAAGCACCTCGGAAGAAATGCCTGGCAATCTACTTCCAAAAGATCACAGCCATTGGGTCAGGGAAAAAAAAAAAGAACTATTAAACGTTAAAAGACTGGAATTTATGCTATATTACAAATAAATAAGTGGTATTCATGAATTAGGGCATTTTCAACTGTTAAGGATGTATTCACTGTCAAAGATGTCAGCAGATATCTCTTAAGAACTCTTCCCAGGGTAGAATTCTATGGCAAGCATGAACTGTGTTCAGAAGAAATATCACTAAGCTTCTCCTTCCAACCTTCCAAGTCAATAACATATGTCACATAAGGCCTTCTCTCTCTCTCTCTCTCACCCTCAAGAATGTCTTCATAAAGTGCATGTACTCCTTCAGGCACGATGACTGCCAGTGCAGTTCCACAGAGAAGGCCAGCACCCAACACAGTCACCAGCTTTAGTCGCTCCTGGAAAAAAAACGTAAGACACTGTTGAACAGATTTATTAACGAACGGGAAAAAGATTCTGAAGTATCTGTAATCGAAACGGTGAACTACTTGTTTGTGAGACCAAAGCCTACAACGGCCAGTAACCATGAAAAATGTTCAGCTTCATGAATAATTAATGCAAATTAAAACAAGGAGATGCCTTTTTTAAATTTACCTGATTGGTGATGGTATGGAAAAATGTCTACTATCTAGGTCAAGGAGAAATGAGCACTTGTCTAACACAAGAAGGAATGTGAAATCTTAAAACCTATCTGGACTGTGATTTGGCAATTTAGATCAAAAGCCTTAAAAATGTGAATTCTGCGATCCAGCAATTAACTTCTAAAGTTCATCCTAAGAAAGAAAGGTATATGCAAAGATGACCACTGCACTTTATTAAGAGTGCAAACCTGAAAATAACCAAAATGTCCAAGAAAGGAGATTGACTAAATAATCACAATACCACAGCACTCAGCCATTACAAATGACATAGGTCTGCAACACCAGTATTAACAACCAAAAATTACGTGTGGTTACCTAGAAAGATATGTATGCATGTTTATGTGTATCGGAAGGCAAATGTGAGTATATGGGTGTGCATGTACAGGGGTATCTGTAGGCATACATTTACATATGTTTGTGTGTGCTGCATATATATTCACCTTCCAACCTTCCAAGTCAATAACATATGTCACATAAGGCCCTTCTCTCTCTCTCTCACCTTCAAGAATATCTTCATAAAGTGCACATATGCACTTCATAATAACACACATAGGGGGCACAGTTACAGATACTTCCTAGACATAGCCGAACACCTTGCGACTTTGGTTTTTCTGGGTTGAAGACTTAGGACCATAGTCTCGTGGGGCAATTCAGTCAATTGGTATAACAGAGTGCATAAAAATAATGTTCTACATCTGAGTTTGGTGAGTAACACCTGGAATTTTAAAAGCCTGAAAGCGACCATATAAGATACAACTATTGGTCTCTACTTGTATGGAGCAAAAGAGACTGAAGGAAATCAAAGGCTCAAAGAAGAAACTAGTCCACGGACTAATAGCCCACATGAACCACGGCCTCTTCTAACCTGAGACCAGAAGAACTAGATGGTGCCCGGTTACCACTACCTACCTTCAACACAATAGAAGGTCCCCCAGATAGAATGGGAGAAAAATGTAGAGCAAAATTCGAATTCCTAAAAAAGGACAGACCTACTGGACCAATACAGACTAGAGGAACCCCCGAAGCTATTTCTGGAGGTCACCTTTCAGCCAAATAACAGATCAGTTTATAAAATAAACAATATAACTTGTGAGTAATATGCTCCCTTAAACAATCAAATATGGTTATATGAAACCAAATGGTTGACATTTACCCAAAAGCAAAGATGAGAAGGCAAGGGGGGAAGGGCAGCTACATCAATGGAAACAACAACTAGAATGGAAATAATAAGAATGCCATTACTTTGTGAAAACTGTAACCAATGGCATAGAACAATTTGTATAGAAATTGTTAAATGGAACCTAATTTGCTGTGTAAACTTTCATCTAAAACACAGTAAAATATTATTCTTAAAAAAAGAGAAAGACAAAAACCAAAGACTCAAAGAACAAACTAGTCTACAGGGCTAACAGCCCACGCAAACCACCGCCTCTTCTAACCTGAGACCAGAAGAACTAGATGGTGCCTGGCTACGAGCACCGACTGTTCTGACCAGGGATACAATAGACAGTCCCAGATAGAATAGGAGAAAAATGTAGAACTAACCTCCGATTACTAAAAAAGGCCTGGACTGGTAGAGATTAGAGAAACCCCCAAAACTACTGCCCTGAGATAATCTTTAAGCTTCGAACAGAAGCCACTCCCAGAGGCCATCTTTCAGTCAAATAATAGATTGGCTCATAAAATAAATATCATCTGTAAGTACTGTACTCCTTTAAATAATCATCTATGTGAAACCAAAGGGTCAACATTTACCCTAAAGCAATGTCATGGATTGAATTGTGTCCCTCAAAAATATGTCAACTTGGCTACATCATGATTCCCAGTATTGTATGATTGTCTACCGTTTTGTCATGTGATTTCCCTTGTGTTGTAAATCTTATCACTATGATGTAATAAGATGGATTAGTGGCAGTTATACTGATGAGATCTACAAGACTAGATACTGTCTTAAGCCAATCTCTTTTGAGATATAAAAGAAAGAGGCGAACAGAGACATGGGGACCTCATACCACCATGAAAGCAGTGCTGGGAGCAGAGCATGTCCTTTGGACCTGAGGTTCCTGTGCTGAGATGCTCCCAGACCAAGGGAAGACTGATGACAAGGACTCTCCTCCAGAGCTGACAAAGAAAGCCTTCCCCTGGAGCTGACATCCTGAATTTGGACTTATATCCTACTAGACTGTAAGAGAATAAATTTCTCTTTGTTAAAGCCATCTACTTGTGATGTTTCTGTTACAATAGCACCAGATGACTAGGACAAGAAAAGATGAGAAGGCAAGGGGTGGGGGGTATGGAAGCTAGATTAATGGAAACAGAACAATCAGAATGGAAATAATGAGAATGCTGACACATTACGAAAAATGTAACCAATATCGCTGAACAATAGGTATAGAAATTGTTAAATGGGAATCTAATTTGCTGTGTAAACTTTCACCAAAAATACAATAAAATACTATTTAAAAAAAACAGGTTTATTGATATAGAAAGTCACAATGTTCTGCTATAAAGTTGGTTGCAAATAGTATGTATGATGATTTCATATTTGTAAAAGAAAAAATATTTATTCATATAAGTAGAACAAGTGTACGTTAAAATATTTACAATGGTTATCTCTGGATAATTTTTATTTTATAATCTATCTACACTGAACATGTATTACTCTAACAAAAAAAATGTTTTTTAAATGTCAATATTAAAAAGGCCTATGGTTTTGGACCAACTTAATCCCAATTGTTTTCTTTTTATCCAGATTTCTTTGTGAAACTGCTTCTTGTCATAAGAGACTTAAAAATTAGGTTTCAAAGTTTCTTAAAGTGGTAGTATACCCTAATACGGCTTCCTGGGATCTTAGCAGTATGCAAAATGATCTTAAAAACTACAAACTAAAGCCAAACCAGTTGCTGTTGAGTCAAGTGTGACTCATGGTGACCCCACATGTGTCACAGTAGAACTGTGCTCCACAGGCTTTTCATAGCTGTGACCTTTCAAAAGCAGCCTTTCTTCGAGAGTGCCTCTGGGTGGGCTCAAACAGCCAACCTTTCAGTTAGCAGGTGAGTGCTTAACCACTTGCACCACCCAGAGGCCTTTAAAAAAACCAAGGAGGTAATTATATATGTTGCTTATGAAAATGTTTCCATTTTTTTTATTGTGGTAAAAACATACGTAACAAAACATATGCTATCTCAACAATTTCTACGTGTACAACTCAGTAAAACTCATTACATTCTTCAAGTTGTGCGACCACTCTTGCTTTCCTTTTCTGAATCATTTCACTACAATTAACATAAATTCAATGCACCCTGAGCAAAAACCTCTCCTTTCCCCTCTCCCTCCAGTCCCTGGTAATCGCTAATAATCTTTGATGTCTATGTATTTGCTTATTAAATTTCAGAGTTTTAATGGGATAGAATATACGTCACTTTTCTGTTTTAGTTTCTTTAATGTGGTCAACAAAAACAATAGTAGCTGTATTACCTCTGATATACTACTGAACTTCTAACTGCAAGGCTGGGGGCCTAACACTGTTTATAAACACTCTCTCTATGGGAGAATGGATTCTCAGATGAAAGCCTGGTTGAAACATTACTCTCTCCTTGTTTGGGAGGACAGAAGGGGTCCACATCTCATTGTGACTCCATTGAAAAAGGAGGAACTGCAGCTGCAATGTAAGTACCAACCAATACTTGCCATATAGCATGAGGGGAATCCCAGCTTCCCAGCACTAGGGCCAGGTCAGCCCTTCCGGCATTCAAGATGGCCATTCGCTACACAGAAATCAAAGAGTATTCTGAATGCATCCAGTGGTTGGGGTGCTGGCTTGGGAGGTAGAACTGACTCCATGATCAAATCAGTTAACAAAACCCAGAACCTCAACTTGTCTTCTGTAAAACAAGAATATTTTTACATGCCTTATGAAGATATAGGAGGCAATAGGAGAAAGTGATTTAAGTGTTTTGGGGAAATGATACCAAACAACTGGTGTTACTACTTTAACATTTAACACTGAGCTATTTTAAGACTCTTTGTCTTTTCCAAGTTACTAAACTCACAAAGCACTATTAATCACAGTACTCATTTGAGACAAACTGTCAGAGCATGGAGAACATAAGATGGAAAAACAACTCTATTCTGTGTAAAGGTGACATGGCCTGATCTCAGAATCTACTATACAGCCACGACAGTCAAAACTGCCTGGTACTGGTACAACGACAGACACATAGACCAATGGAACAGAACTGAGAACCCAGATGTAGACCCATCCAGCTATGGTCACCTAATCTTTGACAAAGGATCAAAGTCCATTTTAAATGGGGAAAAGATAGTCTTCTTTTTTTCTTTTATTGTTGTAGTTTAATTTAAAGTTTACAATTCAAGTCAGTCTCTCATACAAAAATTTATACATACTTTGTTACGTGACCCTAGTTGCTTTCCCTATACTGTGACAGCACACCACTCCTTTCCACCCCTGATCTCCCATGTCAATTCAACCAGCTCCTAACTCTCTCCGCCTTCTCATCTCACCTCAGGACAGAAACTGTCCATTTAGTAAAAGACAGTCTTTTTAACAAATGGTGCTGACAAAACTGTATGTTCATCTGTAAAAAAATGGAACAGGATCCATACCTCACACCATACACAAAAACTAACTCAAAATGGATCAAAGACCTAAATATAAAACTTACAATGATAAAGTTCATGGAAGAAAAAATAGGGACAATAAAAGGAGTCCTAATCACAGCATAAAAAGAATACAA